GAATGTATAATAATTTAATTATAAAAATTTTGAACTGTATAATTTTTAAAAACTCTCTTCTAATTCCTTTAAGCTCTTGTCAGATAGCTTATAATAATCATTATTATCTGCTGGTTCCTGCTCTTCAATTTTTTTAAGAAGCATAGCAAATTCATTCTTTGTCATAACTCTTAGTCTGGGTGGGTCGATCGTTTTGCTATTATAAATTACTTGCCAACCCAATCATTGAACGAGTATTAATGAACGTCTGGCTGCAATCATTACATTTTTGATTATTGCTGGTTTACCTTTATGATAAATTGTAGATGATTCTACTAATATTTTATTTACACGGCTTGCAATCCTTTCACCTTTGGCAAATTCACGATTCCAGTTATTTGCTTCCGGGTTTATTTCTTGTCTCTTTTCTCCAGTCACTTGATCAACCACAGTGATAAATCCGGGAATAAAAAATTGACCAGAGTTTTTTAGTTTTTTTATTCTTTTCGTTAGCTTAAAAGAGATATGCACTAATTCGCAAAGAGTATGGATGTATAAAACTCTCGAAAATTGAAAATCATTTTCGTTATTTGAGATTTTTTTCCAAATAATTTTAATCTGACTTTCGATATCGTCTCCCTCCATAATTTCCATAGGCACTGTTAAAGAACATGAAAATTCAATCCACTTATCAAATATTTCTCTAAAAATTTCAATATTTGGTATATTATTTTGAATAATTATTGGTTTTGGATCTCCATTAATTTGGACATCGGTGCGACTTTTTATTTTACTCTGCTAGATTTTCAAATCTTATTAATATTAAATATAGATCAAGTTAACATATTCATATTATAAATTCTTACCTGATCAAGCTTTAAGTAAATAAATAAATATATTTTAGATAATGACCATCATTATGTTCATATTATATACTGATTATAATAAAATATACTAATATTTAGCTTTAGATATAGTATTATACTAATATAAAAGTATAAAACTTACACATTTAAACTAAGCTATATTGAAATGGATTCCTTTTAATAAATTAGATTACACCACTATGCTTTTATGTTCCTTTATTTTGTAAGTAAAATTTTTTTTTTTTTTGCAGACCGAATCGACCAATGATCATTTTAGCATTTCACGTCACGATACAACAATAATTTGATTGGTCATTCAGTAAAATAGATAAAATTGGGGAACCGTTAAAGCCAGGTTCGATCACAAAATTTAATTACATTAAGGTTAGATTAGAGCCCGTATGGGCTAGGGTTAGATGAGCTTTATAGGTAAAATCGTCCACCAGATATTTTTTCTTAATGCAATAAGATAGGTTTAGACATTCGTTTCTTGCATTTTCCGCATTTTTTTTACTTTTTTTGCTTCGTCGGGATGATCCATGTAAACAAAAATCACAATTTTGATTGCGAAATTTCGTGATCGAACCTGGCTTTAACGGATCCCCTTTATTGGAATTACGAGGAAACTGTGATTGCAGATCTCATGCACAAACGATATTAATTTGTGATCAATTTAATAGTGTCAAAAGATCCCGCAATTCATATTTGCATATTGAACCTTTGAGCCAATTGTGCATGGAACTTTTGGTATATTAATCAAGTAAGAGATTTCTTTGCTGAAATCATGGCTGGAAGTCGTGAATTCGGACATCCAAGTCATGATGGGTTCGTGACGTATTAAAAGTTAAATAGTTTCAATTTATTCTGGATTGATTTGTTTACATTGCGATTTCTTGCGATTAGAATTTATAGTTTTAATGTAGCTTTTAATCTATTGAATAGTTCGAAAATCTATATTAATCTTTTTGTAAAATAGGTTTTACTATATTTGTTGATAATGGATCTATATATATCCGTTGATAATGGATCATATCCTTAGTTCAATATTTTTTTTACAGGAAGTCCCCAAATTTCCGGGTCGGAGTGCATCGGGGCTATGAGTGACACTAATGGAGCATTTAATGTTAGATAATACCATGATAAAGGAATTGGTGTTAAAAAGGATGAACGTAAGCACTTAAAATCCACAAAACTAGGGAAGCTAATTGAACATATGATCTAGGTAAGAGATAATCGTTGTTTTAATGGATTTGAAGGTGAAAGTGATGAACATAAGGCATTGTTTCATTTTTAAAAATCTATAGATATGGGTAATGCTGATGGAACGTATATAATCCGAGTAAGAAATTGGGTTGTTTTAATGAAGTTGGACATAAAGAATTCAACTATTATTAAAAATCAACGAAGATGGGTAACGCTAATTGAACATTTAACGTGTATATTGGTATAACAAAGAAATTTGAGTTGAAAAGAATATACAAAAGACTTTATTATTTTCAAAAACCAGTCAGTGGGAACACTGATGGAACACATAATCTAGGTAAGAAATTGATTTGTTTTAATAGAACTAGAGTTGAAAATGTTGAACTTAATTCATTAATCTGTTGTCAAAAATTAACAGAAATGGGTGACACTAGTAGAATATATATAATGTTAGATATTGCTACGGTGAGGGAATTGTATTTGAAAAGAATGAGCATAGGCTTTATTCATTTTTAAAAATCTACGGAATGCTGATGAAACACATATAATGATGAATGCGCATATAGTGATATAAAATTTAAAAATTTAAATGCAATAAAAGCATAGCAGATAGATAATAAACGTAAGTTTAAACGCATTTATTTATTTTCCGCAACAAAAATGATTCGTTAATTTTAAAAAACTAAATGGTTGCTAGTTCAAAAATATCCAACTCTATATCTTCCCTTATTCTTCTTATTTTCTCATTCCGAGCTTTGTCTTTCAAGTTCACTGCCGTTCGCATTTTTAATGGTCCATCTGGTTTCCCGTAATGTTTCAAAATTTCCTCCCACTTTGTTCCATACTCTTTCATTCCACGTTTAAGACATCTTAGCTCTGGATCAGTCCATCTATTACGTTTTTGCCCACCAATCCCACTAGTTGATGTGGTTCTTTTACGATCATCAAGATTTGGCGCGTATGTGGTTCTTTTACGATCATCAAGATTTGGCGCGTATGTGGTTCTTTTACGATCATCAAGATTTGGCGCATATCTGGTTTTGGTCGAAGGTTTCAAAGCGGGTATAAAAACTTCTACTTTGATATTATTGAATTCACATTCAGTTACAATGTTACGATCATCAAGATTTGGCGTGTCTGCGGTGGTGGTCGAAAGTTTCAAAGCGGGCATGACAACTTCTACTTCGATATTATCTATTTCTGCTTGGAAGGGAGGTCTCACGATTTCTTGTGGTTTTAGAATTAGTTCATTATAATTGGGTCTTAAGGGAGGTCTAATTATTTCTTGCCGAGTTTCACTACTGGATTGTGAAGAAGGTTTATAATCTTCATCTCGTAAGGTCTCACTACTGGATTGTGAAGGAGGTTTATAACCTTCATCTGAATTATTACGTAAGCGAAAAGATCCCTTTGTGAAATGAAAAGATTTAAGTTTAAATACAGATATAAATTGACATCTAGGGCACAGCATATATATAGAAACTTGCTTTTAAAAAATTCCAGAAAGACATAATACTGTAATACCGGGTAGATGTTAAAAATAATTAAGTTCACGATCTAACTTTTATTTACATCTTTATTGTTTACAGTTAGGCGCGTGATCCGCGCGTAATCACGCGTCATAGACAGAAATTCGTCTGATTGGCTGATGTAGATCAATTGCCCGGGTAGCTTATTTATACACTTTAAAGTACTTTTTGAGAAATGCAACGTTTCACTACTGTGAAAAAAATTTTTTTACACAATTCGCTTCGTTTTAGTGCCAGAAGACCACCTTTAAAAATAATCTTAAATAATTTTAAATTTAAGTGGTGTTAGCTTAGACGCAACTTTCTGAACTAGGTAAAGAAAAAAAAGGGTTTGTTTGAATTCTAAAAAAAATAGTTACTAACAAATAGCAGGTTTTTTTTAGAGATCGGAATTTCAGATTGGTTTTTGAAGCGGAATAAGCTTGTTAGTGGTGTTAGCAATAAGAAATTTAGGGGTAAAGCACCCTTAGGCCACGCAAAGTTAAATTTTCGTTTTGTATTACCCGCCGACCCAAATTTTTCAAAAACCCAAAATTTATTTTTTATTTTTTTAGTCCCAATTCTTTTAAAACAAGTATAAAAACGTTTATTTTAATGGTATTAATGAATATAATTCAAAAAA